CCTCTTTCGACAGGACAGGAGCAGCCTGCTACTATTGCTCCTGGTATGATGATGATATCAACCGACGATCCCAAGGTCACTAGGTCCAAGTCATCTGCATCAAAGAAGAGTAAGACGAACCCTAGATCCCCTACTGACGATACCGCGACCGACGATGTCCCAGCCACGGATGGGACATCCCCAACACAGGCCCATGCCCAAGCTCAAGCTCACGCACAAATGGCTCAAGCGCAAGTAAACGCGCAGATGGCCCAGATGAACGCGATGATGGCTGCAGGCGCGTCTCTGGTCCCAGGAGGAATGGGCTGGCCGATGCCGCCGCCCATGCAACCCTCACAAGCAGGGCTGCAATTTCCGTTTATGCCTCTTGGCCCTCCTGCGGGTGGAGGGCCACTACAGATGCCTGGAGGTGTAGGGGGATTGCCTCCAGGTTTACCTTTCCCGCCGCCTGCTATTGCTGTTCCTATCCCGGCCGGTGCACCACTCCCCCACCCTGCACAACTTCCCCCGAACGCACAACTAGTACCTGATGGGAGAGGTGGACATACTATCATTATACCTCCTCCGCCCGGCCCATGGAACCTGCCTTTCCCTGGTCCTGGTATGATGCCCGGACCGCTACCCACCCACGCCAATGGGGGGTTCCCTATTCCCATTCCGATACCGACAACAGCATCACCGCAACGTACGAATGTAGAGACGCCATCCACTAATGATAAGACGACTGAACTATCTACGTCAAGTTAGATGAAAGATTATGAATCATTTTATGACTTTCGTATGCTCATTCATACACCTCCCATTCTTGCTTTCTTGATTCCGATCCACATTGATCTTCTTTTGACACATATACGCCATCATTTTTCATTTACTCGTTTTCTTTGTTGGGTCAGTGGGAGATACAGTTGTACAGAATAGGTCAGCGGGATACCGCTGTCTGATTAGTAGTTGGACAGATAGAAATGAAGCTATTAAACGCCTAATAACCAAAATATAACCTAAATTCGACGTTCTATATGAGTGAGAACCTTGAACAGGCATGTGTGACCAGAATTCTGTTGATCGGGCCTACCCAACTGCCACAGTCGTGGAGTCACTCAGTAGTGGAGGATTGCCAGGGATTTTACCTCATTTCGATTTGAAATTCACCTTACATGAACAACGTTCCCTTATTTAAACAATCGAGACTTAGTACTTCCAGTATGGCGCCCAAAAGCCGGCTCTCGGTAGATTTTGAACGATTCTATTCACAAAATAGGAATCAGTTGTGAGGGATTCGGTACGGATAATATTCGATTTGGATTGTGGTTCTAGCGTGATGCCAGTAGGTGTCATCTCATCGCAGGTGGTGGCTGGATGAAAGTCAACATTAGTGTTGACCAACCACCATCGTTGCCGGTTCGAAGAGGTCTGGTTGGCTGTCATGCCTCGAGGCTTGAAAGAACTCAGATTAGTCTCTCGGCCTAAACGGAAAGTCCAAGTTACTCTGGAGATATCCGGCACGGCGGTCCTGATCGGTTTGGAAATTGGAGGCCCTGCTCTGTCAACCCACATGACGGTCAAGCCGTCATCCCACAAAGTTTATAGATATATAGATATATGAAATTACCTTCGAAAGTCAATTTCCCCGACTTATAACCGTCATAGACTACCATTCCGCCCCGTATTCGTTCTGAAACCCTCCCTCTGATATCCCTGCGAGGTCCTGCTCACATGTACCAGGACATACTATCAAGGGCTGTCCAAAGTGATGCGCTCGTAGAAGGTGCCAGAAATATTGCAATCGGGAGATGGTGTTCTGGTGAGTACTGGTACAAAGCTATCGCGCGCTGTCGTTAAGAATCTCACAACAAATATTCAGCTGCTGCTGTGACTATTCTGTTTCATGACACGATCATTACTCTGGGGGATGAGGTGAGTGGTACTAACATTCTTATCGTTTCGTCCTCTCATGTCTTTGCCCATAAGGTAGAATTTCTATGGCCCAAGAAGTGGAGTCCTATCAAGATTATAATTTATCTGGTACGTGTGTACCAATTTGGGCGAGAGGCTTCATTACTCGGCGCATCCTGAAAGCTCACTACCCAACTGGGTGTTATCAGAATCGCTCTATCACATTCTCATTTACCCTCGCATGGTCCCTTATGCAGGCTAATGTACTAAACTTTACCAATTTGGGGTAGGTGACTTTATTATACACCCTCATTTGACTTTCTTCTAACCACTCCTCAGATGCAAATTATTATTCTCGATAACATGTAGGATAGATCTCTTCAAACTTATTCGCAGAGTCTGACCCGACCTCTGCCGCCTACTCTCCAACAGCCCTCGTCGCGGCCATCTCGTTTGCCTTAGCGAACTGGATCATGATTACAAGGACGATGACTCTTTATAGAAATACAAAGCCATTCAGATATTCGGCGATATCGTTCTACTTTGCAATGGTCTCGGGTAGTATCGTTCTGGCGACACTCTCATTGTCAGAGCTTTTAATCAAGGGTCAGTTTCTGGATGTTCAACTGGTCATGATTCATCTTGCTCTTGATCTAACGTCTGGTCGTGTCCATCAGGTAATATACTTTACGTTGCTCCGTTCAAGGTCTGCGGAATAGCATTTCGACCTACTCTCTACGGTAGATTCTTCAGCCTGCCACGTTTCAATATGTTGAGTCTTGCAAAGGATATATCTATTTCCCGGCTTTGATCCTCGAAGCTGTAATTTGCTTCTTGACTGTCGCCGGAACCTATCAAAAGGCAACCGGCATGTATCCTTCGGAAACCAACTTGTTCCTAGTGTTGTATCGCGATGGAGTCTCTTACTATGTGGTATGTATTGCACCTATCCGCTGCTTCGAGAATCTGATCATAGGGCGACCAGGTTGTTGTTGGTGAGATGAATAATGACCAACAGGGTCTATGCTGGTCTCATATTGATTTAAACAAGTCCTCAGAACTTATAACACATACGCCTGGATGACATCGACGCCTTCGAGCCTCTACAATGGCTTCTGGTGAGACGACGCCCTTAAAGCAGAGACCTAGCTAAAATCCATGCGCACCCAATATCTTATAATCGACATATAGGTTCCTTTGGGTCGGAATCTATATCGCTAGCACCCGCTTGCAGCTAAATCTTCTTAAGGCTGCTTCAATACCGGTCTCACAGACCCATCAATTGACACCTATTATTCATAGGGACCGATATAGTTCGAGATGAGGGGATATAACTATCCGTAAGTATTTATGGAATAAGTATAATAACGCGCGCAGTTTGCTCATCGGAGTTTTTGGCCAGACAGTCGTATTGTTTACGGGTTTCTAGCTAAATTCGAGAGGGTTTTATATTCTCAGCACTTTGAAGCTATATCTATCACTGGTTTGCATCTTATCGAAAGCAAAGGTTGATTAGCCACTTAGCCCAGCTTACATCACTCATTACCCATCTTCAGCTGCCCTCTCCCGCCTCTATTAATTTCTGAGACTCACATCGATCTGCTATAATGCCAAATCTCTCTCTTCTTACGCGGAAATAATATCCTATATACCGGACTCCGTCGAGCTATATAGCACTGGCCTTGCAGCCTCATCGAACCCAGTGCTGGAATCACCTTTTAGAGGTTCTTTACTTCGACTCGTACCTTTTCCCTGTTGTATATTATAAATTTGCCTTGACACTACAGATACAGCATTTTAGGTCAATGGCCTCACACCCAGCATCGATGTAAGAGTCAGGCTACTATTGACTGAAAATGGGATCAACATTACATGACCGGTTGTGATAATACCAATACCGGGCTCGGGGCTTACCACTGGCTTACCTCGGTTGGCATACGCCAGCTATTCAATTATGGGCCACTGCGAGTCGCCTATGAACAAAATTGTGTGAATAAACACCACGAGGTCGATATTTGCCATCTGCACTACGGCCTGTGTTGAAGACGGGATTACGGTGTTCTCGCCTAAAGTCTTGGTCCCTGTCTCCTCGATCGAACGTATAGGGTTCTGACACAAGAGGCTATCTCATACTTGATTTGGCTGGTTTTGTCTGGGCAGGACACTCAGGAACTCCTATCGGATCTCTCACCAGGAATATATCGCCTCGCTTGTCACCAGTCCGCCGGGCCGTTCTATGGATTCGAGGTCGACTATCAACTCGTGTCCATAGCCCACATGATCGCAAACCTTTCATTTCTAACGAGATAAACCTGTCATGATTTACGCAACAGAACGACTAATAAGCTCTGAGAGGTACAGAAGGCACTGCTCTGCTCGAGTGGTCACTCTTAAAAGGGATGCGGGGAATTGAGACAAAGACGAACCGTCTTTCTCTTGTCTAGACTCCCCTAATTGAGCCTTAGTCCTCCCATGTATCAGATATTGGCTCCAAGGACCGCTCAGGATATCATAGTTGGCGCAAGAGATGTTCAGACGGGTCGATGGTGTTCAGGTCAGTCATCAATCCTAGAAGAAATAATCTCGGTTGATAAACGTCTATATAGCTGTTGCGATAACTCTCTTCATCCACGATACTCTCATTACTTTGGAAAGGGAGGTGTGGTTCCTCTACCTGTTCGGTCACCGTGGTTGATTCTCATGTCTGGTTTTATTTTACTAAAATCTTCAGGCAACGTACTTGTGGCCGAAGAAATGGAGTGTCATCAAATTTCTTACCTATCTGGTATGTACCTCTCAAAACCCGGGGGAGAAATGAGTGTTTATGATAGTCTTTCCACCGGCTAATATGATATTTTTATCGTAAACAGTATCGTTCAACCACCTTTACTTTCGTCTTGCTGTGGGCAATCATTCAATCTGGCGTGATACCCCTGTCTAATCTTGAGTAAGCATAGCTCTCAATTCATCTCTTCGTTCCCCCACTCAATATTTCTCAGATGTAAAGTGACCTATTCGGTAACCGGTATGGATTATGCCTCGCAGCTACGCGGCTCGACTGTCACTTATCGGTTCACCAGCTGTCGTCGCTATTATCTTCTTTGCCATAACCAATTGGATCTTGGTCGTAAGAACAATATCGTTATATGGAAACAAGCAAAGATTCAAGCATGTCATGACAGCATTCTTTGCTTTGATGTCTGCATGCACAACTGTCCTGGCGATATTGTCGCTGCATGTACTCTTGGTAAAGCCAGGTTAGTATATTCTTATCGATCTCTGTCTCTTAGTTTCTTATTATGGCGCTAAGTCCACTTCTAGCCTATATCATATACGTCGTCCCCTTACGCACCTGTGGCATAGCATTCCGGCCACCACTGTACGGTAAGTACATACCGTTCGAACCGCACTTCATATTACTGATGCTACCGGGAAAATGCTATTTATGGCTCCCTAACTTGATGACAGAAACCGTTGTTACTGTCCTGACGGTGCTCAAGACCTATCAAAAGGCAGCAGATCTACACCGCCTTGGATCGAGATTATTCATGGTCATTTACCGGGATGGTATTGGATACTTTGTTGTATGTACCACCTATTCGTGTCTGACGAGAACTCACGCATGCTTTCCAGATGATAGTTGGTACGGGGCGTTATCTACGAATGATCTGAATAACCTTTTGCTCATTTGTTTCGATCAAAGTTATTAGGGCATATATAACGTATGCTTGGTTGACCCAACGACCCGCGGCTCTTTATCAAGCATTTTGGTACGTTTCACTCCACATTCAGGTCATAACAACAAGCTCACAACTAACCACCAATTCCACATTTTGCGTACCTTTAGGATCCTATGGGCCGGAATGTCTATTGCTACCACACGTCTGCAACTCAACCTTATAGAAGTGGCCTCCCAACCCGTTTCACTCACTTCTGCTTCGAGGCCTAGTGGGATCCAATGAAGCAACTCCTTCTTATCAAATCCACCCATACCAAACCTATGTCGGCGCTACCAGGCCTGTCGAGCCCATCATATACGTACACGCTTTGCTGGTCCTACGTATTAGCTAATATCGGCCATCTGTACCATCAACAAAGTACCAATGACCATTTTTCTCTAATCTCCTAAACTATTCCGGGAGAACCTCCGCTCTGTACATATGTGTATCTGTATTTCTATGTATTCTTTGTCTTTCATCAGCTTGAGGCGAAATTTCTTCTACGCACAATCTGTCTCCGCCATCTAATAAAATGCTCCGTACATTCCAATTTGGCTTTAGCCCAAATAAAACCACTAACTCCACGGAGTCATTGGGCAGGGTCAAAGCCCTAACAACATTTGATGCAATCACATTAACTGATAGAAATTTTGATCAAGACTTCTTGCCATTGGTCACCTCTCGATCAACAGTCTTTAGCTTTCCCGGTATCCTGGGGCTAATCTTACTACCGGTATCCTCGAAGCCTCGATTATAACATGAATTTCCCGGCTTATCTCCAGTTTACCAAGGATTTGGTTCTATTCTATGTAATTTCCGGCCCCAATCACGTCTAGATGACCAGTATCCTTTGAGCATCTTCGTCTTGGAGTTTGGGTCTTGGGCTGAAGGCGCATCCGCCCAAGAGTTAGATATCTAAGCATGTAAATTCTATTTAGACCTATGATAATTAGGCTTTCAGGAGCTTGATTCGTCTATTTGCATTGGGAATTCCAGTCGTAGCGCCCATCACCTGCCACCGTCTCTTTGGTACTTCACCTTTCGAAGAAAAAATCCACCGAGCTAAGAAGTTACCCTAGAGACCAAAGGGACTGCTGTAAAGATGACTAGGTAATGTATTTCTCTTGAACTCCCTATGCTCGGGCATGCAATCAGCCCTTGTGACATATCCTGTTGGCACACCTTGAACCTCTTCTTTACCCAATCCCCCCTTCTCCCGAGCCCCGTCGTATTGTGAATTCTACTGACAATCCAAGGCCATTTGATTAGATTAGACAACTCAACAAGGCCACTCTCTGGGCACTCTTAATCTGTTCGCGCTGTATTAGTAACTGGTCGTAACTCAAAGCCACTCCACATGACCAATATGGTGACGGTCTGTCAAAATAACCTAAACTCACATCTTGAATGTGGGCCTGACAAGGAGCTACAACTCGCTACATTTTCTTCGAGGCTCGACAGATGGAGCGCAAGCAGCCGCGCCCTTCCCCAAGGAAACGACCCTTAGTCCTCCGCCGGGTATGTGACAGACCGGTGGGGGGTTCGACATTCAAATTGGCAAATAGCCACCTTTCTCACACTCGAGGAATAGCTCAGAAGGTTCAGTTACAGCGTCGTGTTGTACGTTTTCGAGATCAATTCACGCCACACTTGTGGATCAATTTCAAAACCCGCCTAGTCCGAAGGCATAATCTCCTTTTTAGGATGGAGACCAAAGCTTATTTCTTGCGGAAAATCCGGAGTAGCGTGTACATTTGTTTTCGCTGGTTGTAAGGGCGGCATTTGGGAAAGGGTTACCCTAGACAGCTTCGTCGGCGCAGCTGGCGTGAAGGTGACTGTCATCTTCCGAAGACCCTGAGACCAACCGATGGTGGCTTGGTGATCTATTAGGAGGGGGAGCAGCGAACCTCTCGGTATGCTAAATATATCAAGTTCAACTGTGGAGACCAAAGTCGTTTTTCTCCTTGCCCCAACTCCCCCGTGTACATTATCAGCCGTATGAACCAACTATTAGAATCAAGATCTACCTCGACAGTCGACGCCCTTATAGACGCGGCACAGGGTATAGCACTCACTCGATGGTGTTCAGGTTCGTCTTATCCTTTCATGAGGGTATACTATGCTCATAGTATGTCTACTATAGCCGTTGCTATAACTGTCCTCTTCTATGATACATCTCTCACACTAGGAGAAGAGGTGAGGGCCACCTATATTGCTATCTTACAGACCTCTCATTCAATCCCAACCCTTATAACTAGGTACAATACCTGTGGCCCAAAAAATGGAATGCTGTTAAGGCGTGCATCTATCTGGTGTGTTCGAAACCAACATGTCCTTCCAATATATTACTAAAAGCTCTGTCAAAAGAATCGCCTGATCACCTTCCCCAT